TGTTGTTGTGTTGTGTGTGTGTGTGTGTGTGTGTGTGTGTGTGTGTGTGTGTGTGTGTGTGCGTGTGTGTGCGTGTGTGTGTGTATGTGTGTGTGTTGCTTGAGTTGAAAACTGATAAAAGATGCGAAAGAATAGCGATGACTTGATAAGTACTGATAATGTTGCCAACTTTATTCAATGTTGGAATCACAATTATGGCTGTTACCATTTGTTATGCTTGCGATGATACCATTAAAATGATAAAGTGATGTCACTGACGATGAGGAAATGATACCATTTGGTATTGGTGATAAGATATGTCAGAATATGGGAGAAGAATACTGTTATTGCTACTTTTATTGTTACTGCTTAATTTTTTTGCTCTGCTATTATCTTTCGAATTACTTCTATTAGTATTATTCAGAGTGGATCACAACTCTCTTCAGTTTCTGTAGGCAGACCTATGTTTTGATCGTTTTCTGACAAAAGAATCCAAATTTCTCATAGATTCAGTGGTTTGATTAATATTGATAATTCCGGAAATATCTTGCAATATCCTGTAAAGGATATTTCCCTCCCTGTATTTTCTAATTTGCATCTATTATCAATACCTTTTTTTATTTTTTTATGGGACATTGAATTGGGGAGAGCTCATTCCGGAAGATATATGAACATCCAAATTAAGTTAAATGTTTCTTTTTAGCAGTGACGAGTGGCCGTGAAAAATCTGGAAGTTCGGTGATTTTCTATTCCAACCGACATCGTTACATATGTCAGTAGCTATGGTATATTATAAAAGAGATAGTTGGAGCAAAAGTGTAGTGCGTTGAGATGTGTAGGAAGGAAGATTAGGTAGTGCTGTTGGCTATGAGTGAGCTTAAGAGTGAAGCTAGAGTAAGCTAGATACTAATCTTCGAGTCGATATAAGAGAAGATGGAAGGTAATTTGGAAAAGTAAAATTTGATTGAGAAGACGAAAAGTTTGATTTTTTTAAGAAAAGAAAAACCGATGGTCCATTAGACCGGGCTATATATATATGTTTCCTTTTTGCTCTTTACATAGCTAATTGGCCTAGAACTACAATGCCTTAGACTGCTATAAGCATTAGGCCTAGGCCGTTTTCCTGACAAAAAAAAAGAAAGCGTTATCCAAGAAAGAAGCAAGGAAGGGTAGAGCCAAGTACTTTACCCATTTTACTTTTGTGCAATCAATATAGCCATTGCAGTTATTGGCACAACCCATCATTCTGACACAGACAAGACAGACAAACGCATGCATACATGAGTAAACAGACTATGACTCAACTCGACCAGACCAATTCTACCAACCAAAAAATGCCTCAACTCTTCTTTCTTACAACCACTTCTCCCTTACCTTCAGATTCTTCCTTTCTATTACCTTTTTCTTCTCCTTTTCCTTCCTCTTCTCCTTCTTCATTTCCTTCTTCTTCCTTTTCTTCTTCAGGTTCCTCTCTTCAGCACTGTACATCAACAGATTCATCCTCTATAATATCACAAAAATGACATACATTAACTGCTTTAATTAATATTTGAACTGTATTTCTTTTCTACTTACCGCTATTCGTTTCAATTGTCAACCTTTCTCATTATACATATAAACATTGTCATTCTGTTGTCCCGCATAATCTGATCAGTTCAAATTGTTGTATCATATCATATCATTCTTGTTGGATCTTCAATATTCCTTGTCATAGTAGCGTTTTCCTTTTTTACTTTTCAAAATTCAAACACTGACTGTCAACAATCCGAAACCATTCCCTTGTTAAAAGTACCTATGCTAATTGGAAACAATCACAACATATTGCTTCATTTCTTGGAATTTAAAGTTTGTAATTTATGAATCATTCCCTCTCTACTTGGCTCTTTTTTAACTCTCTAGACATTAGCAGCTAATTTGTAAAATATGCACCATTATGTGAAGTATAAAGTTATACGGTATTAAAAGGAGTGCTAGGATGAAGGAAAGGTATGTGTGTGTGTGTGTGTGTGTGTGTGTGTGTGTGTGTGTGTGTAGTGTGTGTGTGTGTGTGTGTGTGT